TCCTCTTATACTCTCGTAGCAAACAATGAAATGCCATATTATTTGCTTCAATTCCACAGTTTTGATGACTTTTTAAATTCAATTTATCTTAGACATAAAATATTTACTATTTTAAACACTTAGTTAATTTCTATTGACTCATGCTCTTCTATTACACCCCTGACAATGTCTAGCCCATTACTTCTGGAGGAAGTCCTGATGTAATACCTTCCCAGGTTCATTATTTGCTTTCTTGGAAGCTTTTGTCCTTGAGCAAAGTTATAATATTTCTTCGCAGACAGGTAGGCAAATATGCACTGAGATGAACCATCAGATAAAACTGAGACAAGAAAGTTATGTTTGAACACAGACAAAAATGCAAGAAATAGATTATCAAGGGCCAAAGATAAATTCACAATGGCAGATTTATTTACTATAAACATGCATAAACACTTACAGATTCAGTAAACACTCACCAATAACACAGGCAGACACAAACACACTGTAGTGTTTTCACAAAGGAATTCTAAATTGTCTTATTTCCACTGTGGCTCTCTTGTTGGTTCATTCTATCTATACTACACCCAAAATTTTTGTACTTTCAAGCCTTAGGGAAGGTTCTATTCGTGCTCAATTTTTTAATTATACAATATTTTTATTGCCTTTCTATTTCATTTTATTTATTTTTTATTTTAATGTAATACAAGTAGATATTAATAAAGAAAATATAAAAATCACTCATCTCACTCCTACGAAAAACTTTTGAAAAAACAAAATTTCCAAACAAAATTATTTAGACACAAGGTATAATCAGGTTTACCATATAACTCAAATATCCTTCAATATGAAATGCCAGCAACACACACACACACACACACACACACACATTCTAACTCAATATGTAAAGATTTTATTCTACGTAATTTATCTCACTCTTAACCAACATAAAAGAACCTTGCTATGGCATGTTTCACTCTGTTATTCTGCAGCAACCTCAGCCCCAGTGGAAGCCTCAGTTGTCACTGGTAACATGAAAACAGTGAAGCTTAACTGAGTGGTTAGACAAACCAACAGAAAGGCACTATGATAGGCAATGTGCATTCTTACTAATACTCACAACAAAATAACCTAGTCACAACTCTATGCGGTAAGTATCACTGGAAGTGCAATTTTATAATAGGAGAAACTGAGTCTCAGAGAGTTTAAATAAATTTCCTGAGCTACAATCACCTATAGCCTCCACTGTGGAAAAATTCCACTGATCTTACACTCCTGCTCCCTTTGGTATATTCCCTTCAAAGAGCTGGAATGATCCCTTTCAAGAATGCCCACCATGTCCCTCCTCCAATGGCTCTGGAGAACTAATAGCTGACTCAGAGCAAATTCCAAAGTTCTTACAGCAGCAGAAAAGACCCCTGACGTACCCGGACCTCTATGACCTTTTTGCCCTCATCATCTCATCTTTATTCCCTTCATTTTGGCCTCATTTGTTACCTTGTGGAAATTCCCGTGAAGCACCCACTGGGCACTTGCCCTCTGCCCACGACAGATACTTTTACTTCAGATTTCCACAGTTTCTTCCCTCATTTATTTGCTAATATTTTCTCAGATAATCCAAATTTCATTTTCTTGATACCACTCATTACCTTATAAAGCATATTAAATAATCCCCTATTTATTTTCTTCATTTATATCTCCATCAAAATGCAAGTCATATATATATATGATAAAATATATAAGAAATTATATAATACATTAATATAGTTTATATAATAAATTGTAGAAAATAAATTATATAAATTATATGCAATAAAGTTTACATATCCCATATTCCCCCCTAAATCTTCTTGAAGCAGAGTAGACCATCAATAAAATATCAGAAGGGCTGGGGATTTAGCTCAGTGGTTCTGCTGTCTACCTCGCAAGCACAAGGTCCTGAGTTTGAACCCCGGCACCAAAAAAAAAAAGACATAAAAGAAATAAAGTATCAGAATACCATTTTCCTCCAAAGGTAGGGATGAGAAAAGCCCTGAAACAATTCTATTGGGTGAGATAACATTCTAATATTAGTGTGTTTGTCTGACACAAGTATACAAGTGTTCTGGCCAAATACTCCATCACCACACTGAGAATACTGATGCATTTTAATGTATATAAACTTTATAATAAAAGAAAAACAGCAATCTCCTGTTGAATTCAAGTTAACAATGTACATATTGAAATATTTAGGGAGAAGCCCACTGATACACTCCATTTATATGGAATGCATAAAGAAGATAAAATAGACTAGAGGGGAAATAAAGGGAAACACAGACACATGGTGCAGCACCTGGAGGATAAAATAAGGGTTGGGGGTATACTTTTTCCTCTAAAATTCTCTCCAATTCTTACACATTTGAAAAATGTTCTAATGAAATGTTTTTTAAAATCCACCTTGCCTGTCCACCCGCTCTGGATTGCAGACTCTCACCACACTTGGATCTGCCAGTGAATGAGTCTGCAGGAAAATTTCAAGCCCTGGAGGCTTGAAGCCAGGATCCTCAGCTCCCCCATCAACCTGGCCATTTAAGGGTCTGGGTCACCGGAACCCTGGCGGTCCAATTTTGAAAGAGTAGAAATACACATTCTGCCCAACAGGCAGAATTATAAGCAGGTCTCTAGTCTCACAGATTAGTTCTGGGGCTCACAAAGTTTTATATAAACTTATACATGAATGTTTAGGTATAGGAAGACAGAATTATTTCAGCCTCGTTATATTTTATCTTTTTGTTCTCCTTATAAAAAAACACACCGAAATTTATTGCAAGGATCCTTACAAAAGTCATAAAATAATTTTAAATGATCATAAAACCAATCATATATTTTATAGAAAACAGAAGAATAAAATCACTTTTTGTGAGATGTCAGAGGCAAAGAAATTTATCACTTAAGGAAAAACAACTTTCTGCCACCTATAAGCATTTAATTTCTTTAACTTCTTGTGCCCTTGCAGGACCAGAAAGCCATTTTATTACCGCCAATTCAAAAAGACTACTAATGACAAAGACCGTGCGTGCAGAAACCTTCAGTGTGAATTCTCTTAACTGAAAAATCTTTCAATAATTGTCTTTGTCTTATATTTTCAATCCTATTTACTCAGATTCTATCCCTTACACTTTAGTCAGAGATAAAAAGCTCATATTCCTGGTAATCATATATTTGAAGCTAGTAGCTATTACAAAAAACTAAGATCTAACTTTGGCCTATGTCGAAATGTAAACAAAAAATTCAGAGATCACAGAGCACCACAAGTTTAATTCAACATGCTTCTCAATTTGCAAATGCTATTTAGGGATGAATTTATTTAAAGCATAGAGAGGTTGAATGGAACATCAGCCCACTTCAACTAGTGAGACTCTGTGAAGAAAAAGGTTTAAAAGGGACTTCAGAGAAGAAAAAAACACACATTTTTTGAGAAGGTTTATAACACAGTAATTGAAGAAGAATGGAACCAACTTGGAACAATGAAGAACTACTAGGCAAGGAAAGTGAGAAAGACGGTGACAATGAATTCTCCGTCTTCACTAAAAATGGATCGAGAAGGGATGATTTGTGCTGGAGATGCAGCACAGTGTCAGAGCATCTGCCTCGCATGTTCAAGGCCCTGTGTTCAGGCTCCAGTACTGAAAAGAAAAGAATGAAAAGAATGGTCTATAAGGGCAGTGGTCAGTCCCTCTCTCCTCAGATGTGACTCTGTCCTCGTCCTAGTTGCTAGGTGTGGTTGTAACTGTGATGTCTGTGATCTCATGGTCACAAGAGGAAGTTAAGAGAATGAAAACAGACTGGGTTAGTCTCCATTTGATTTTTTTACTTTCAAGTTTTTGCATTTTATCGTTCATGGCTCTTTCTCTTCTAAAAGGTGGGTGTTATTTAAGATGACTTTCTTTTGGTCCTTTTTCTTTTTATTCTCTTTTCCTTCCTATACTGGCAACTCCTGAAATTATGGTCCAGTTTTAATCTCTTTCATGAACTGGAAACTAAATTTTACTCTTCCCAGTCATCTTATAGGTACATAAAATTGTATACTGAACACCAACCTATTATCATTTCTTCCAGAACCTTCCTCTCCTCTAATATTTTTCTTTAATGGCATTGCTATCAAAGCAATCCTCCAAGTTAGCAACCATGAAATGAACTTTAGACCCATACCCTCCTCTCTGCCTGCCACACTGTATATATTTTTGGTCTCCTCAGTTGATGCTTCTTAAATGCAAGGTCCTATCTTATTCACCCTCCTTATGCCTGTGCCTAGAGGATGTTTAGTGAACATCAGGTATAAAAGGAAGGAGGTAAGGAGGGAAGAACAGGCGAGATGGGTGAAGAGAGGAACACAATAAAAGGAAAAAGAAGGGAAAAGAAACGGAGAGAGCTGTAAGGAGGAAAGCAATTAACAAAGTTCCTGAGCTATCATCCATAATAGTATGTTGAGAGGTCACCAACTCCTGACCTGCAATTCTTAGAAGAGAGCTCTCTTTGCTGGAAAAACATTGTGAGAGGTCCTTAGAGTAAAATTTAAGCTACCAAGGGCTTCGACACCAGTGGCGAGAGTGGGGTTTTCTACATAATACAAAGTCTAGAGAATTCCGAAGGCAAATGTGAAGACAAGAGTAAGGCGTGGAAAGAAATGAAGAGAAACAAAAGAAAACAAAACAAAAAAAAAAAAAACAAGTATAACCATATGTTCTTTGTCATGCATGGAAGCAAACAAAAGGTGATGAATGAAGAATAGTGATTACTAAAGGTAGGGAAAGTGAGGATAGGCACAATGGAACAAAGGAAAACTGAATTTTTTCAGTGCATACGGTATGCACGTGTTGATATATCACATTGAACCCTATTAATGTGTACAAGTAATACATGTTATTAAATATAAAATAATTTTTGAAAAAGAAATAAAGAGCCCAGCACTCTGGAGGCTGAAGCAAGAGGATCACTATAGTTTTGAGGATATATATACAAATAAGACCAAAATAATTACTCACTTTTGTGACTTTTAAATCTTCATGCACAAGTGGGAAATTTATGAAAGCTTGGCACAATTGGATTTCTTTTTCTTGTAAGGCACTGAAATGACAGAATTTAAGATCTAGGTTTACATGGGGTGAAAATGACACAAAAGCCAGAGCACAAAGTCACAGCTGGTGTCTGGGTTAATATTCAGAAACACACCTGACAGTAGCAGGTCCATCAAGGATGTGGCGGCTGAAGCCCGAGGTCTTCCTCTGCCAGGTAATACAGGTGTTGAGTCAAATGACTGAAGGTTCTGTCTGAAAGATCAAACCAAAGTTGCAAATTCAAGTGTTCAAGAGTGTACAAGACATTGCTTCATTCCAAATTCAAAGAGACAAGGATAAGCCAATTTAAAATTCTAACAGGAACCCAAGGATTTCAGATTTGATCTTGGCTAATCTCTTCCTACCCTCATTTAAAAGAGTGACGTAATCTCTAAAGAGGTTTGAATACTCTGAAGCTAGTGCAGCCTTGAAAATACCACTGGTCTATATTACTTGAATTTAAGAAAAGCTGTATCAGCTAAGGGATGCTTTGGCAGTAGACCAACAATTATCTTTAATGCACCCCTACAAGGGACCTGTGTTTGTCAAGGTGCACTTGAACTCTCAGAGGTGGGTAAGAGAAGCAGTAGAGGGCCATGGGTATGTCTAATAGACTGAAGTAGAATTATTTATATCTGCCAATATCAGGCTCTAGAAATATCACATTCCTTGTTACTATGCCACTATATCCTTCCTACTCATTCTGGTGCTATGTAGTGCTTTATTTCCTTTATATGCTTCAGTCCAAATTTTATAACTAGTAATTATATATGTTGTTACATAAAAAATGAACATTAACTACTCATTTTGGCAGGCTAATGAGGTGCAGGAGTACAAAATGCTCCAAGTATAGGATTTTATAGAAAATTCTACTTTCACACTTGTTTTATAATAAACCAAATTGTGGACCTCCAAAAATGTGCTGCTGCCTTATAATAAAATCATTCACAGCAATAGATAAGTGAAGAGAATTCTTACTTTTCAACATTGCTAGTCACCTCGGCTAGAAAGAAAGTGCTCTGGGTTGTTTTAGAAGAAGAAAAATGAGTTAATACCTAAGAAACATGCAGCAAACTGATGTCAATCATCAGAATAAAGTACCAAGGCCTCAGATTCATATGAACAATCTCCATTTTATAGAATTCATAATGATCTTAGGTAATACCTACTCCTCTGTCAGCATTTACACAACCTTTTTCACTTCACTAATTCCCTTGCTTTTTGGCACTGTTCCCAGCAAATGCCTTTTCACTCCAAGCTGCCCTATGACACACTTGTGCTTTAAATTAGAAACATTGTTCAGATATTGTATTTTTTTAACTGTATAATTGCCTGCTAGAGGCCCAATCTTCCATTTTGATTTACAGTCCCAAGAATGGAACCCCAGGCTTTCTTGCTGATCTGAGCATCCAATCCCATTTCTATTTTTTGAGATGGGCTCTAGCTAACTCACTAAATTGCCCAGGCTGCACTTGAATTTGTGGTCCTTCTGCCTCAGTATCCCAAAGTACTGGGATTATAGAACTGAGACACTTGACAGTCTTTTTTTTTTCCTTTGAATCATTCACATTTGGAAACTGGATTCTACAGTATAGTGGTAAAGAAAAGCACTGGAGACATTCCCTAGACTTTTTGTTTTTTCCTTTTAAAACATTTCCTCTGTCTCTGCAGTGACATGATCTCTGCAGTCTGTATTACAGAACAGGAGCCATTGAGGAAGCTGTTGTTTGGCCACTGTTTAAAAGAGAATCAACCAACTACCAATGACAGTGACATCAAATGTAGAATCAAAGAAACACTTGCCTCTGAGCCCCTATTTTGCAACTGACCTACTTTTTAGAGCCTAGAACAAGCTTTCTTACTGCTTTTTGACATAACTGTCCAAACAACTAAAATTGCTGAAAACCTCACCTACGTGCAACTTGCCTATCTTACAATTCAATCTGTATGCAATTGCGCAGGAGAATGCTCTGAAGACCAAAAATGCTATTTATATAAGAGTGCCTCTCACTCTTCTTCAGAATCTATTTATTCTCAGAGTGCACAGAATTTGAAGAAGCCTAAAGGCAGTGCAGAGTAATTATTAAGAGCACAGGCTCCAGAGTTTGAGTTGAATCTTGGCTCTGCCATTTACTAGCTCTGTGACCTTGGGCAAGTTAGGTAAATTCAGCACTCTGTTAGATCGCTCATGAGATGTGGGAAATAATAATATATTTTATAGTGCTGTTATAAGGATGAAATGAGTTAAAATTTATAAATACTCATAACTGAGCCTGGCACATAGTTTTTGTTTACTTTCTAAGCCCACAAAATTTTATAAACAGCAACAAAGAAGATAGGCTTTATATAGGCAATTGCATTAACATCAGCCAGCAGTATCAACTAAAGTCCCATGCAAGAGTAGGAGGTGTCACTCCAAAACAGACACTGAGTAAAGGAACAAAAGCTTGGTGAGATCCAAGGGCATCACTACTACATCATAATAGAGAAGTGAAAATTCACAAAGAGCAACCTGGACCATCACATCCAAGAATGTTACTCTTTTTTCATCTTTGATATTTACAAAGATGATCTTGAGTACTGAGGAAATGATTTTAAATGCTTAATAATTCAATTGAAAAAGCAATGCAAAAAGACATCTATTCAAAGAGCTGTCATGGTTTAGATACCACGTGTCACTCAGGGTTTACATGCTAGGTGCTTGGTCCCCAGTGCAGCAGTGTTCAGAAGGGCTTCAGGGAAATGACTGGATCCTGAGGACTCTAACCCCATCAACAGATCCATCCATGGATGTGTTCACAACCTAACAGGCTTTGTGGCAGGTGGGGCCTAATTAGATGAAGCAGATCACCTAGGGCATGGCTCTGAAGGGAGCATTTTGTCTCTGACTCCTTACTCTTACACTGTTTTTCTTCTCTGACTGCTTCCCAGCTTCCATGGTGTTTGCAGTTTTGCTCCACCCTGCCCTTCTGCCACGATGTACTGGCTCACCTCAGTTCCCCAGCAACAGAATCGCCTACCACTGGAACAGGCCCACCATGAAGCTTCTGAAAAAACCGTGAGCCAAAATAAATCTTTTCTCCTTTCAAGTAGCTTTCTCAAGTATTTTGTCACAGCAGATGAAAGTTCAGTAACACAAAGACAAACTTAAAAATTTTTATGTTTTGATAGGTACTTAGTCATTTAAAAAAAACCCTGTTATTCAGAATGATCCAATCTTGATCTTGTTATAAGACACTAATGAAAGTAAAAACAACATATAAAAATTATCCCCAGGAGGTGGTGGCAAAGACTGCTAATTATTCCCTTCTTTTCATTCTCTGCGTCTTCTTTGGAGAAATCAAAATATCCTAAGTAACCAGAAGTGATGGTGTATGCCTATAATCACAGCCTGTAATTAGGAAACTGAGGTAAGAATATTGCAAGTATGAAGCCAGCCTGGGCAACTTAGCAAGACCCTGTTTAAAATAAAAAATTTTTAAAAAGAACTGGGACTGTATCTCAGTAATACAGTGATTGCCTAGCATGTGAGGAGAGCTGGGTTCAAGACTTATTACTGGAAAAGATGTCCTGAGGATCATCATGCACATGGGTCAACACCAAGAAATCATGAACGAAAACAAGAAACTGAGTTTCCTGGGTCCAATTGTAGAGGGATCAGGATGCCCTACCTGGGCCCAACAGCCCTCTCAAGGCAATTAATTTCTATTTCACTGCAGCCAGAGAAATTTGGGGAATTTTATTCTAGTGGCCTATTATTATCTTAATAAACTTAGAGAAGATAATAGAAATTAAGTATTGTATCCAATACTTATTATTGGGCAATTTACTGTTATGCCTTACAAAGGTGCAGAATTAATTGGCTCCAAATTCTGTTCTCAGAAACTTTACAATCCACAAAAGATGAGCCAAGTACTCAAATAATTACATTACCTCATTGTCTAAATGATTTGTCTTCTGAGAGTCATAAAGAAGACATTATGAATTTGCAGGAATAAAAAAGTCCAATTTGAAACAGGAGATCTATCAGGAAAATCTGTGGAAGGATCTATAATTAATAGATTTAAAGGACAGAAATAAACATTGACAGGAAGGGGAGCACTCCAAGAAAGAAAAAATATGAATAAAAGTATTATTGGACCGCAGATTTAGCTCAGTGGTGCCACCACCTGCTTCACAAATGGAAGGACCCAAGTTGATCCCTGGTACCAAAAATAACAAATTTTTAAAAATCTAGAAGTATTACTGGCTGGTGATGTAACTCAGTGTCACCACACCTGCCTGGCAAGTGCAGGGTCCTGGTATAGGGGGGAAAATGTATTATTAAAGAAAAGTGGATATAAGTTATTTCATTCTTGTTAAGAGTAGAGGACAGAGTTGAGAGTTTTGGAACACATAAGTTAGAAGAGTAAATTGTACCAAATTGGGGAGAACAGAAAATTATTACAACATAAAATATTTATTAGGTTTCTTCTCCATGCAAACATTATATTAAGTTTTTTGCGTATACATTCTCAGTTTAACCTCAAAATAGTCTAATCTTTTATGTCCGTACCACCTCTAGCCTGGAGTGTTTGCAACTAATTCAACAAGCAGTAGAATTGTGAAGGAGCTGCACTCTACCTGGGCTCGAGGAAGCCCAAGCACATAGCAGTGCACAGTACACTATGTAAAGAGGAACAAAGGTTATGCAAAGGGTGTTTCTATCATAAATAAAAAATGAGGTGGGGCTCGAGCTAGTGTGCAACAATGAAATGGGAAAGGGGGGTTGGATTCAAAACATTATGAAGAACTTGGCAAGCAACTTGTGACTGCATGTAGTCCTACAAAAGAGGAAACAGAGGAAACCCCTACTAAAGCCGGAACCCTAAAATTAACAGAATAAGGAACAAGGTTTTGCATTTAACTAAAACTTGGATGTAAAGTGGGTGCACTAGACTTGTTGAAAGGTTTCTGGAGTCTACATACAGCGCCTATGTTTTCCCATTACCCATGTGTACCAGTCTATGCTTACTACAGAATAGATTTAATGCAAGGTAAACAAATATATCTAAGGATTTACAAGATAGGCTCATAATGGCCGCCTGCAGAGCCAGGTGTGGAAGCGTACAAAGGGCTGCCTGTGCACTGGGGATCCAAAGGATCCAGTTAAAGGCCTGGAGCTCACTGCAGTGTCCTATGTAAGTCCGTATCAGGCCAGAAAGCCTGCAATG